GGTTTTAGCCTCAAAAAAAAAAAAAAAAAAAAAACCAACCTTTAAAACACAAGACAAAAACATGAGACATGGCTCAGATCAGATGGCCCAAGACGGGACTTTCTTCCTCATTGTAAGATCTCTGTCAGTCTTAGTTTTTTTACACAAAACACAAATGCTTCAAGCCTGATTTCTTTTCAGAAAGAAAGCATGAGAATCAAGTCCTGCACCCAGCACTGTCACTGGTGACATAAGAAAAGGCAGCTAAAAATCTCCCTGCAACTTTTGCACAACTGCAAAAGTGCAGTTTCAAAAGTGAAATGAAGCTTTTAAAGAGTGGTTACTTTTTGCCACCGCCACTGGAAAGATCTTTTGTGCTAAAAGTGATACCATGCCATTAACAGGTGGAAGGAGTGATGCGGGGGAGACATTTCCAGGAACTCCATGCTGTGTCATCAGAAATCGTTCTAATTTGGGGCCAGGTTTCAGAGGGGTAGCTGTGTAAGTCTGTATCAGCAAAAATAACGAGGAGTACTTGTAGCACCTTAGAAACTAACAAATTTGTTTGGGCATAAGCTTTCGTGGGCTAAAACCCACTTCATCAGATGCATGGAATGAAAAATACAGTAGGCAGGTATGTATATTCACCCCTTCTTGTCAACTGTTGGGAATAGGCCACTTCCACCTTGATTGAATTGGCCTCGTTAGCACTGACCCCCGCCCCCCCAACTTGGTAAGGCAACTCTTCATGTGCTGTAATATAAATAAAATGTGTGCGTATATACATACATACATAAACATACACACACACCTGCCTTCTGTATGGGGGGAAAGGGAGAACTCAAGTACTGGTTTGATCTAGAGATTAGTATAAGGAAACACCTAAAATCATCTCTCCTGTTTGTGATCATGTCACTCTCTTTCATTCATATGCAGAGGACTTAATAATGAGAATGAACTAAGCAGGCTGTTCAGAAACCTAACCTGAATTGTCAGTCTAGGGCAAAGCAGTGTAACTGAACTCTGCAGGAAGCAGCAACAGAGGGTCCTGTGGCACCTTTGAGACCAAGATGCAAGTCTTGCATCTGAAGAAGTGAGGTTCTTACCCACGAAAGCTTATGCTCCCAGTACTTCTGTTGGTCTCAAAGGTGCCACAGGACCCTCTGTTGCTTTTTACAGATTCAGACTAACACGGCTACCCCTCTGATACTTGACACTCTGCAGGAAGAGCACACCAGGAAACGAAGCGTTCTGTTCACCCTGAGGTATGAGACATCCTGGGCCTGATTTCCAGAGGTAGCTCCCAGTGAAGGCAACAGGCTCTGCACGGGCTTAGCAACTTTGAAAGTCAGGCCATCTACGGTTACCGCTTATCTACCAGTGCCTCCCTAGTCTAGTAGGGTCATTTGAAGGCAATTTCTCTTCTCCATGTTGTTTTGCATTGTTAAAATGTTAGCAGTTCCAATAAAGAGCCAAAGCCAATTAAAACCGTAGCTCAATTTCTGTCCTGTAGAAACACTAAAGACTGGGGGGGGAGGGAAGGGGGAAATAATTAATGGATCTTGCTGGGGTCTCAGTAGGTAATTGTTTTTTAACTGAATCCGCTCCGAAGTGATAGATACAGCTATGTGTATTACCACCACCAGCGCAGTTTTAGTAAATTGTAAAGGAAATGAGAGCTGGATTCGTACTCTCATTTTACAGCTATGTAACTCCACGGACCCCACTGGAATCACTCCTGATTGACACCATTGTAAGTGAGAGCAGAAGCAGGTCCTGAATATGGATGATATGGTCTCGAATGCAGCTGGCATGGACAGGATCCTAGTACCCATTATTCAATTACTGTGGAACCTGCTTACAGGGAAACTCCATTTACAATGGAGAAGAATTTAAGTCCCCAATAAGTACAGTGCTGCAATATGCAGATGGCAACTCGGATTACTGTGAATCTGTAAAAGTTAAAGGTGAGATTAAAAAACACCCTTCAAGGATTAAGGTGCCCAGTTTTCACTGAAAGCCAGTGAGATTATGATGCTCCCACTCCCCTCTTTTTTTTTTAAATCCCACCCTCCACTATTCTATGAATAAATGACTATTGATTAGAATGGAATCCTTTTCTAGCATAGTTCAAGACAAAAGGCCAGGATTCTGATCTCAGTGTAAATCTGGACTCAGAGTTAACACCACTGTGGAGGTATTCCACATTCGCAGCAGTGTAACCGAGATCAGAACCAGCCCAAGCTTAGACAAAGTTTCCAGAGAAGATCAGTAATCAAGAGTTTATTAAGTTTGCCCAAACCATAAACACAATACATGCATTTCCTTTCAATAAAATAAAAATCTAACGTTCTTTTAGAAGCTTCCTTATGGAGACACAATGGGGCCATAACTCCATTCCTTCTCACTTGAATTGGCTGCATTAGTGATTTAAAGCTAGCCATTCTCTGACATGTGCAACCTCGATTAGCTTCAGTGGAAACTCTGTGCATGATTTGCAGTGCAGAAATTAGCCCTTAGTTACTCCACAGATGCAACGAAGAACTGGGGGAACAGTTCTCTTCAGTGCCATTTGAATGCTTGCACTTAAAGAAAAATCTTAAATCACCTTTATTATTATCATCATCATGTTAAAAAAATATAGTTCACAGAGAAACATATGATGTAAACATTTTTTAAATAATTGCTGGTGCTTAGGCAGAACTCAGACTTCAGAAACAACATACGCCAGTTTGAACGGAGGGGTCGTGTGGCTTTCAGGTAGGGCTGCACCAGTTTCAGAGTTCGGAAGATGCCGTGAAGGTTTCTGATGTTGTGTGTAAGCAGGTAGACAACAATATCAACAAGATAATTACACACCATGCTATATCTTTTGATTACTTGATTCCAGGATTCCCAAGCCAAATCTTTCAAAACGGAGGACAACTTTGCTACTGTTAATGCTGAAAAGAGTGGGGAAGGGAGGGGAAAAAAGTTATGCATTTTCTTTTTTTTTATTCGTTGTACAAAGAGCCCTATTAACAGCCCTTATACAGAGTCCTATAAAGGAAATAAAATGTGTTAGGCTCTGCAGTACAGCACAATGCAAGGTCGTCCAACAAAGAAGTTTAAGTAAAGTGATCAGCAAATAAAATGAACTGTGATAACAGGGCTTGATACTGAAGTCCTTACTCCCAATGTTTTTCAGGAGAGGTTGCCCCCAGTGCAAATCTTTTCTACCTCAAAGAGAAATAAATTCCAGAAGGAAGAAGGAAAAAAAAGTGGGGAATTTTCAAAGGCCCAAAATATGAGCTGGATGCCTGACACCCACTGACTTTAAATGGGTGCTGGAACCCCAGCTGTCCTTTGTGCTTTTGAAAATCTCCCTTTCCCAAAATGGATCTCTCCCCTGCCCAGATTGATCAAAGGTAAGAAACTAGATTGATTCTTAACTGGGGTAGGGAGAAAGGGAATAAAAGTCTGGGAAACCATTGTTAAGATGGGAGAAGGAAAATGACTATTGAAAGGTCAAATTTTTATCAAGGAAAAGGATCAATATACAAAAAAAAATCTCCTCCTTAGAGGACTTAAAGGCAGGTGCCACAAATGAGTTAAGTATTGAAGAGCACTTTCTTTTACTGTACAATATTGTACACAAACATCTGGCTATCTGGAAATGTAATATGTATGTAAAGAGACATCCATCTCCAGAAAACACTCACTGGGGATCATTTGGCTTCACTGAAAATTAGTGCAAAGTGATAGTGGCTCTTGCTTCATAGCCTGCCAAACTAAAATGTTTGTTAGAACTCACGATCTAGAACGGCTTGTCTACATGTGGCCTCTCAGGAAAGTTAATCCAAATTAACTAGAATTGTGAATTTAAAGTGGATTTGTTAATTGTGTGTGGACACTCATTCAAAATTAAAGTAGCTTTAATTTAGTTTAGTTTAACCCTGAATGAGAGTGTCTCCACACAGGAGTTTAACACACTTTAATCATTTTCATTGAAATCAGTCACTGAACTCTTCGCTTTCCAATGGAAAAGTTAACTGATTAATTTATCCTGAGTGTCCCCATGTAGAAAAAGCTCTTAAAAAAAAAAATTTGCTGTGCTCGAGCTTGATTCAAAGCTCCAACACATGCTTAAATTGAAGTAGTGGAACTTAAAGCAAAGCCCTTTGCGAACAGGGCCCTAATCAGCAAAGCTAATAAAATGATTACATTTAAGTGGCTGGATTGTTCCTGGGCCTGCGTGGGTGTGTAGAGGAGAAGGCGAAGCCACAAGTTATTTAAAAGTTACAATTGGTGCCAAAAGGAGGGCTGCTCTACACTACAAAGTTAGGTTGGCTTCACTACATCGCTCAGGGCTGTGAAACAGATGAATTCTTCCATTGACCTAGATACTGCCTCTCAGATGGAAGGGGTTCTTCCATCACCGTAGTAGTGTCTACACTACAGCGTCAAAGCTGCAGCTGTACTGCAGAAGTGTTTCTAGCATAGACACGCCTTGAGCAAGGAAACCTATCTCCTGCCAGTTCTCTCGCCTGGAAAGCAAGGCGTTCACTGACCGATTTCAATGGAAGTGAGGAGCCCAAATACCCTTTCAGGACCTAAGTCTCAGTCACTAAACTCCGCAACCAGTTCCCATTCAAGTCAATGACAAAAAATTGTGGAGGGAGGCAGCGCATACGTGATGGCACCCTCCCCGCCACCTCCCCTGGCGCCCACCACCAGGAGGCGAGGGGGCTTTCTGGACCTGAGAAGGGCCCGGCCCCAGGAGCACATGCAGTGACAGTGCCGGGTGAGTGTGTTGCCGGGAGGGAGAGGGGGGACTGGAGTCCTCCTCTCCAGCCCCAGCCCTGGGGCAGCCTGCCTGCACCCCAAACTCCTCATCCCCAGCCCTGCCCCACCCCAGAGCCATCACCCCCCCCTCGCCCCCTCCTGCACCGTGACCCCTTCATCTCTGGCCCCACCCTAGACCCCTCATCTCCCCACCCCACATTGGGCAATATAGGGAAACTGTTAAATGTTTCCAGTCCATTTTTACATTATTTTATGGCAGGCATGGGGGTGGGGTGGGGGAGATTTGGACCCGTTCTGGGTACCACCAAAAATGATACAAACTTGCCACCCCGTTCAGCGTTAGTTCCTAATAATTTGTGCCTGTGAAAACAAAATATTCAGGAGCTACACAGCACAGCAATAACGATTTGAGGTGTAAGGGCTCACAGCTGCTTGAGTCCCGTGCCACTCTTTGTTGGATGAAACTTGCAGAATGCACACAACCAAAAACAACATTTAGCAACTACAAAACAACCCACAACTACAGAATCCAAGCACAGAGTGCCATTTCTGTTGCTTATGCCTTGCTAGTAGTAGGCTTTAGACAGTAATCACAAGACCATTTCAAGGAAGAAGTTACAGTCTGCCCTGTTGAAATGATTCAGAAGTGAACACAAATGGCCATGTTGTTAGTTGACAGCAATTTTTCTTGAAGACAAGCGTTGTTATTCAAGCTAACAGCCCACACCAAGAGAAAAGACAGGAGAGAGGAATTCATAAAGTGTTGGTTATGTCCAAAGGTTAAAAAATTTGGTAGTTTTGTTTTTAAGTGAGAGATGATTGTCCAAGTTGTCGATTAGGATACAACACATGGAAGCATGCAAGGCAGACCCAGTTATTGCACCAGTAGCTACAACCTATAAAAGATAGGAAGAAAAAAAAAAAACAATAAGAGTTAGTTTGCAGTCACTAGAAGCAAGCTTTAGAGAATTATACATTGTGAGGCTTATCCTAAAATAAATCAAGGGGTTAGTGTAATGATTCGCAAAGTGCATGGTGAACCCAAACGATTTGCCAGAGAGGGTGTGAACCTCTGTTTATTGTGGCTCAGAAATCACACAGCTTGCATTTAAAAATGAGAAGTCAGTCTCTAGCTGTTATGGTTATGAAGAAAACCTTCAAAAAACATGACCTGAACGTAACCAATCCAATAATGTCTGCCTGAACCAGACGGAGCCTGAAACAATAGCTCTGAGTTGTGAACTGCCCCATTCATTCAGCGGGCACCAACTTAAATGCCAATGTTGATAATTAACACTGTTGACACTTACAAAATTTCACCATTAAAAGCATGCAAAAAAAGGAGAGGAAGTATCAATTTATGAAGATCTACCCAAACTCAGAGCTTGTCTACACAGGGAAATTGGCCATACTAGCTATTGCAGAATATGCTATTCCACACACTATTCCAGAATAAAAGTGATTTTATTCCAGAATAATGACTCTGCTTTGGAAGTGCACTAATCATTCCAGAATAAAGTGATTTATTCCAGAAGTGCACCCATACGGGGACCTATTCCAAAATAGCCACTGCAGAATAGCTTGCGCCGCATAGTTGTTCCAGTCCATCTCCCCATACAGACAAGCCTCAGTGACAGCTTCTTTTGGGGATGCCTTTGAGAACACATGGGATGGGGCCTACAGGGGTCACTATTGGATTCATAAATTGACCTTCCAAAGTTTTGGGAAATGCTAAGTTAGCGAAAAGGTGCCAGACCATTCATAAAAATTCAGAGTGGCCACTTATCTAGCAGAAGTGTCCTTTATTGCGCAACACAACAAAGTCACTGAACAGAATCATTGGACATTTTAAGATATACTGCACGTTCCGTACAATACTGTGCTCTTCTGTACTGTAGTTATCTACAGCAAGGAAAACAGACTCCTTTTGGACACGCCGCTGAGTCAGATTTGCTAGACAAACCTCATAACCAATGAGCAGTCACATCACCCAAATGGGTAAACGATTTAGAGTCACAGAAAGAAGGATCAGTGTAAGTGAATACAAAGGGAGGGGAAATGTGACAATGGAAACTGGACGGCTCAGCAGGGACTTGGCAATGGGTTAGGGAGCCCTTCACCTCTACATAGCAGGTTAGAAGTGAGCCAAGGCTGGTTGTGGCTGCACTTTGACTTAATGGGCGATCCCAATCCCATCCCTAGTGGCAAGTGCCCAGTGACATTTGGAATTCAGTGAGGTCCTTCCTGGCCAATCAAAATGGGGTTGGAGATCCAGCCACCCTATCAAACAGGGCGGAGGCACGTTGAGGAACACTCATGCTGCTGGTAGGCTGGGGCTAAACAGAGGGCTTCCCTCTCCAGGGCTGTCAGTCTAGCACCTTTCAAAAGGATTTTAAAAATACTTCTGTGTAGAGGAAAGCTATTCAGATAAAGGGTCTGATGGGAGCAGACATGCACGTGCTTTTGAAAGCCCCATTAAGTATCCACATCTTTATGCACCTAAACACCTTTAAAAATCTGACCCCAAATCTCTACGTGCAAAAAAGCTATTGATGATCTTAGCATCTTTCAGCTATGAAATAGAACCATCCATATTAAGATATGCTTTATAAGGTAAGTGGGAATTTTCAGACAGTAGACCGTGTACAGATCACATTCTATGTTCCGGTTAATTATATCTCAGGAGATGAGACACAAAGGGATAGGATTCATCTCCACTGTAACTTCATCAGCTATTGACCTCATCCTGTAACTGCTCCGGGAGTGGAACTGCCACTGAATTCACTGGGAGTTTTAGGCACAAAACAGGATCCGGCCCACCTTTTACTATCTAATGCTGCTAACGCAATCAAAGAGGGATTTCTAAGGTAAAATCTTATTAGACCAGAGGGGAGAAAAAAAGAACGGGCTATTTCTCTTATAACAGAAGCACAGGTAGGAAAAGCAGCGTAATTATATGCAATACATGTGCTCACATATTTTAGCTTAAGTTTCAACATCATTTTCAAATATGTGTAAAAACAAAACCCAACCCTTGAAATGGTCTATGGATTTTTATAATTAATCCTGAAGAGTCTATGATCACATTTCTTAAAGGTCAGAGCTCAATCAACAATAGCAAGGACTCAGGTTAAATTGCCCCATTGTCGCTGCTGGAGCATTCAGGGAGCAAAGAAGACACTTGGCTTTCCCAGCAGCAGGCCATCGTGCAGTATCTGTATAACTGGTGATATATTTGACCTGTTCTTTTTAAGAACATTTGTGTTATAGCTTTAGAAAAATTACTATAATGGGACAAGTATAAAGGATTCACGGTGCTTTATGCTTAAAGCAGAGATTGATGCACAGAGGAAAAATATCAGAAAGCTCTATTTCTCAATGACTGGACAGTAAATGTTCATTCTTTGCTGAGAGTAGTGTCCTTTTGTATAGTAATGATGCCAGGGTCTTGGAGGAAAGTCACATTTCAGAATGAATTCAAAGTATTCAGAATTCCGTGTCAGGAAGATTTTGCACAGGGAAATTGGTGAAGTGTTCAAAGAGTAGAAATCAGGAAATGCAGTGGTAATTGCAATACAGAAAAAGGTGAAGCATTTGAGGCGTTATGGCAAGATACCGCAGGAGGATCACGAAAGGTTAAGAGATGGGAAAGAAGATGATCAAACCATTGGAAAAAAAGGAGAGAGAAAAATAAATATTAGAAGTTCTGTTCATGAAAATATAGCAATGAGCAAAATATTCCCTAAGAATGGAATTCTCCCTAGTACACTGGGCCTCAGGACCTCACATAAACCCACTTTGGGGAACTGGCTCTGGAAAGCATACAAGCATATGCGTAATTTTAAGCATGTCCCTAAGTCCCACTGACTTCAATGGAAATAAAGCGCATTTCTGAGATCAGGATACTTTCTTGAATCGGGGCGTAAAGGCCCAGTTCTGCAAATCCTTATTCTTTTGAGTAGCCCTTCCTCGCATTAGTCACGTAAGCACATAACAAATGCTGATGGAGTTACACTGACATTCAACTGGTATGAGATGAAATCAGGCCCACTGGCTACAGTGTTGACTCAGTTCTGCTCCCACTGAAGTCAAGGGAAGAAGAACTCCCATTGGTTTCAATGCACACCGAATCAGAAGCTACGTCCCCCTGAGTTAGTGGCTATTCATGAGACTGAGGTTAAAATGTTCAGGCCCTGTGGTACAAGGGGCTTTATCCTATTCTTCCACACTAAGGTGAATTTCACATCAGATTTTGGTTTATCCCTATCATTTACTTCAGAGACTCAACCATTTAGGTTACAGCTATAATCCCATAGGTCAATCCTCAGAATATATTCTAGCACATCCCTTTGCCACGCGCCCTTTCCAGTCACTACCACCCAATTTTGAGGCCAAGATGGCCCCTCCCACAAGCATTACATGGTTGTTTCTGCCACTTTCCACCAACCCCGATGGACTTTCTGCCTCAGAAGCGGATTTAAAACCAAGGGTGAATAACTGAATGGATTTACTCTTCCTTTTAAAGTAGGAGTAATGTTTGAGTCTGCATTTTTGGGGGAGGAGAAGGGGGGGGGGGAAATCAATAAAGACATTTTAAAAAATGGAATTAATCATTTTATGCTGGGGAAGGGGTTAAGTGTTCTTTAAGTTAGTGAATATCAAATAAATATAACCCAGTTATTACAGCATTATACAGAAGAGAGAAAAAATAGTACATTCTATGGGTCAAACCCCACTCCCATGGAAGTGGGTAGGAGATACTCACTCTGCAGATTTCCAGAAGTGTCCAGGATGCGACAGCCGTCTGTTCAGTTTTGGCAGTTTTTCAAGCATATCCACGAGGAGAGTAAAGCTGGGTCTCTCGCTGAGGTCTAAAGACCAACATGCTGAGAGGATTTCCTGAGGAGGACATTTGGGGGGGGGAGGGGAGGGAGGTCATTATCATCCTGTTTCGTTCACGAGGCCAGTGACAGGGGCCAAATGACTAGGGATTCCGGATGCTTCTGTTTTTGGGCACCCAACTTTTGTGACACTTTGAAGGGGCCTGATTTTCAGACAGCAGGTGCTCAGCTGCTTCTGAAAATTGGAGTCTCTCAAGTTGAGTGCCCAAAGCCACCAGTCACTTGAAAAAATCTTGACTTTGCTCTTTATTCTACATCAGTTATTCAGGACAAGGGGACATGCTTCAAACAATCCTGCCAACAGCCTAAACAATACAGAGCTTGTGGATTTCTACAAGACGAGTGAAATTCATCCTCCCTAATACACACGTGTCCAGCCCCTGAACAAATGATTCGTGTGTGAGAAACTACATGGAGGCCTACTCCAGCTTGTGGAGAGCGTACAGAGCAACCCTGCAGGTTCTCCACAAAAAGAGCTCCAGCCCCTGGACTTGAACAAGGGCTGCAGCCACAGAACCAAAGAAATCCCAGCCCAGTGACTGTGCTGTCCCTTCTCCCCTGGCTCCTCGGGAAATCCCAGCTGCACTGTCCTAGGAGGAGCTGGCACAGGATTCTGATCCAGCATGTGTGGAGCCCGACACCCATGCAGCCACCTCTCTCCTCGGTAGCAAACCAGAGGTTCCAGGCTGCAGGGGGACATCCACGGCTCTTACTGGGAGAGGTAAATGTAAGCGGATACAAAAGCTGTGCTGACACTATCTCTTCCAAGTGGAACAGTCTGGGGATAATTCTGGGAGTATAAATCTACAGAAAATGGGAATCCTGACCCCACCAAAATAAAAGGGAGTATTGCCAATGACTTTGCCATTTCACCCAATGAGCTAAGCACCCAGTTCCTTCTCTGTTCAGCGTTTGGGCAAGGGAACGCCTTTCACCATGAGAACGGCAGCTAGTTTGTAAAGCTCTTTGAGGCAGGCACCTTTTTTTTGTTCTGTGTTTGTACAGCACCTAGCGCAGTGAAGCTCTGGTCCATGACTGGGCCAGAATGCCACGTGGTACCTAAGTGTGTACGTATCTGAATTGGGGCAAAATAGCTGGTAAGGTACTATTGATTTTTAGGGTGTGTTTCTTCCTTTTCCTTCATAATTTTGATTGATGCTTCAAGTACATATACCTTTAAGCTCCCCCCTCCTCTCCAGACCTGTTACAGAAGCTCTGATCATTGGCTCTTTGAAAGGATTTCAACTTACGCTGACTTCTTTCCCTACACTAACTGTAGCAAGGACATGCTTCACTCCTTCTCCGCTTCCGATCTGCCAGATGAGTGCTTCAGCTGGCTGGCTCTTGAAAGGCCATTCTCTTGCTTGGAGCTCATACCAAACCGTCCTGAAACACCAGTGAATAAATTAAGCCTCACAACATCCCTGTGAGGAAGACAGAGTACCGACATCCCTGTTTTACAGATGGGGACACTCGGGCACTGATCAGTTATGGGATATGACCAATATCAAAGAGGAATAAAACATGCAACTCCTGCCTCCCCGTCCTGTGCTTTAACCACAAGGCAATTCTTCCTCTCTGATAAAGAGTCTGCTGGCTTACATCTTTTGCAGCAAGGGTTTGAACAGCACAGAAGAAAACCCCACCATAATTCAGGTCTCTGTGCTTGAGGCCGGAACCAAAGCCCATTCCAATGAATGGGATTCTTTCCCTTTGCTTTGGATCAGGCCATCATTTAGCGGGTTCACGCATCCCTACACTCTACCAATGAGTCACATTCTTACCCGAAAGCATAGACGTCTGCAGCCTTGGAGAAGGGCAGCTTGTCTTCGTCTTTCCCAGGAGACATCTCACGAACAATTTCAGGGGCCAGATAGCACAGCCAGTCATGGGGCAGTTTCAGTTCATTTTCACGCCTGAGTTCAAGGAGGAAGTGAGATTAGCTAACCCCTTTTACATGCCCTTGAGCACAGCACAGAGCTAGCTGTAGGAACCCTTGATGGAAAGTCTTTTACTCTGTACATTTCTTCTCTAAGTTTTATTTTTTACCATATAAATATACGGGGCCTAATTCTCAGTGGCTCCATTCCAGCACTTGCTCCTTATGTTCTGAGGCCGTGCAGGGGTCTGCTCAGCCCCGATGTAATTTAGAGCAGCCTCCAGGTTGCTCTATCTTATACTAATTCCCATGGTCTCCCATAGACCCTGGGAAGCAGAGGAGGGCTGTAGTGTAATGAATTCTGACAACACACACACACACACACACCCTTTTGCCTTTAACACTGAGGGCTAGGGGCACAGTTGGTACCAAGTCATTATGTCAGCACTAAACAATGCTGGAAGGATATCTGTGCGGGGGGCCAATTTCCTTCTGCTTTAAGACCCCTTTATTCTGCCAGAGTGCCTTAGCAGGACAGACAGACACATACATACACACACCACTTTTCAAGCCTGGGTGTCTCAAGTTAGGTTTCTATATCATTTCTCCTGATTTACACCGGTGTAATGGAGATCAGAATCCAGCCCCTTGTCTACTTGGTCACTATTTCTTGTTTCAGAAATGGACTAGAGACGTTAAGCATTAACTTACCTTCCCTCCTGAACCACACCCGAAATTCCGAATAGTCCAAAGTCTGTGATCACCACTTTGCCATTGTCATAGAAAACATTCTTGGACTTCAAATCTTTATGCACAATCCCCTTTGCATGAAGATACCCCATGCCCTGGAAAAGATGGATACACTTGGCTGTAACCCTACCTTACACAGACCCCATTTCCATAGGACCTGGTTGTGTGTGACGTTCTTTTAACAGATTTATCCTCCCTCCACCCCGTGATCTATTTTTTGCAGTTTCCAGATGGGAGGCTTAGGGAGCCTGGGTGACTTAAGGAAGTCTGCGGGAGAGCAGGGAATTGAACCGGTCTTCATCTCAGGCTAATGCACTACTCAGCTCCCAGACCCCCCTTCCCCTTCCCAACACAGCCCTGTTGGGGCTTCTGGTTCTCTGCTTTGACAATCTCGGTACCCTACAGGGGGAGGGGGAAAGGATGCCGATCAGCAGCTTAGTGGGGGAAGAGGAGGGACACGGATGGGAAGGGAGTAGATTTCTAGTACCTGCAGCCTCATCATTTATTTTGAGTACCTAATACCAATCCACGTTCCTGCCCATGGACCAGAGCTCCTGTCGTAACATGGGTTGCTACAGCACAGAGACTGACTCTTCCCTCTCCAGCTATGCAGCCTCTAAGCCCACAATGTAGCACTGCCTGCCGCGTGCTGTGGAAAAAGCATCTGGCTCATTTACTGCCAGGGACATCTGCCTACGTGCATTCGTTATCCAGCTTCTGTCAGCAATCGGCTGCCAGTGAGCGGCCTTCCTCCCAAGCTCAGGCCGACACTAGCGGTGACAAAGCAAGCATACCTAGCACATTAGGAAACAGAACAGTACTTTCCTCTTGGGCTTCAGCAGCAGGAGAACAGGAGGAGCGTCAAATGCCCACCCTGCAGCCCCAGTCCACTTGATGCATCACTGGGTACGTCTATGCAGTGAGCCTCTGAGCCTGGGTTGACAGATTTGGGCTTGCGCTACAGCGCTAAAAATACCTGTGAAGATGCTACACCCCTCGCTAGACTTCAGACCGCACCGCAAGATAAAAAGCGCTGTGTACACCGCTGGTTTCAGTGTAGTAGCATCAGCCTCGTGAACCCAAGTCTGTAGACCCAGGCTCGGAGGATCGCTGCCACCTGCTGCCTGCAGGCACCCTATATGGCCCGCCATGCAGACTCTGCAGAAGTTAAGTGCAAGGGGTGGAGAGTTCAAAATAAAATCGAGTGTAGACAAGGCCCCCGAGACCGCAGACAGATTGCCGGAAACAACTGCTCTGAGAGGTGTGAACTCCCAGGCCACTGGGGTGTTGAGACCTAAACCTAACAACAGACACTTTACATGTCAATATGAACCCTCTTGCTGCTGACCATTTTAGCAGATGGGATGGGAAAGCAGGTGGAGTGAAGCCTGGGGCGGAGCAGGGAGAGAAGAGAGACTTGGGCTAGAAGATGCAGAAGGGAGAAAGGAGGAGAGGTGCAGGCAGAGAAGGGGGGAAGAGAAACGTAAAGTAGGATGGGGAAGAAAGCAAAAGAAGAGGGCAGAAATAGCAGTCGTTAAAGCTGAGCACATTTTCCCTATTGAGTGATACTGAATGGGACAGTCAATATCATTATTATTTAACAAGAGCTTAGGTGCTTATGTACTAAGCCATGATCTTTGTGCCAGCCTCCCATTGAAACCAGCAGGAGATTCAATGTGGATTGAGGGAAGCGAGTATATAGCCCCAAGTTTACCCCCCAGCCCACAGATCAGAATTACAGAAAGCTGAGCCAGCCACCCCCAGAGTACAGCACATTTGGCTGCATTTCAAAAGCTTTCATCAGAGCCAAGTCAAGGAAGTTAATGAGTAACTTGCCCAAGGTCACCTCGGGGCAGAGTCAGGAACAGAAAGCAGGCTGCCCGAGTTACAGCCCCATGCATTGTCCTATAAAAAACCCCTCACAAAATCCATCAACCCTGGGAGTTTCCTGGTCAACTGGAAGAATCTTCTGCCCAAGAGGAAAGTCATTATTGTGAATCTGTATTTGGAGTAAAGCAGACCGTGAACTCAAGCAGCCCCAAGGAACAGCTTATATGACAGAGAAAGCCAAAGAGTCTTGCATTCGGCATGCCTTGTAATTA